CCCCATTAACATAAACTCACTGCCCCCTTAGGTTCCTATCTAATCTTTTGATTTGCTGTTGTCACTTTGATTCCATATAGATAGTTCTTAAAAGAGCATGATGTTCAAGGCAGACATTTTTACCAGTTAAACTAGACTATTGTTTAGTTTTAAGAAGACTTCAGGGGATATTTTTGGTTTAAGGTTTAAAGATTATCTCAGGGCAATGTTTCAGAGATTCATCAAGCCTCCATGGCTCCAGAAAGTGTCCAGTTAATGAGAATGTGAAATTCTGTTCTGCATTTTCCCCCTTTTAAGCAGGATTCTTTTATAGAATCTTATCAAAATGTTCAGTAATGGTAGCTGGGTAATTTGAATTTTAGATAAACAACAAAAATTTATTTTTTAGTATCTCCCAAATATTGCATGGGACATGCTTAAAATAAACAAAAAATTTGTGGTTTATCTGAAATTCAAATTTAACTGTATTTTATCTGGCAACTCTATTTTAAACATTTTTGAGTATGTAAATTTTATGAATATTATATTTCTTTGAAATGTAAATGAAAGCTCTGAAAGTTCATTCTCTAAAAATACATATACATACAGAATTGTGCACACTATTTCAGGTAGTTCATGTCAGTAATTTTTTATTGACATTAGATGTATTAGAGAAGGTGTTAGGGATTGAATTGTGTCTCCCCCTCCCCAAAATGTGTTACAAATCCTAACCCCTATATCTGTGGTTATAATCCCATTTGGAAATGGGTTTTCTTTGTTATGTTAATGAGGCAGTATTAGTGTAAGGTGTGCCTTAAATCAATCTGAGATATAAAAGAGCAGATTAAGCAAGCGAGTACAGATGGGGGAAGACAGATGCCACACCACATGAGATCTCCAAGGAACAAAGAAACAGAAGCTGAAAAGAGACAAGGCCCTTCCCCCAGAGCCAACAGAGAAAGCCTTAACCTAGAGTTGATACCCTGAAATTGGATTTCTAGCCTCCTAAACTGTGAAAAAATAACTTTCTGTTTGTTAAAGCCACCCACTTGTGGTACTTCCATTATAACAGCACTAGATAACTAAGACAGAAGGGGTAACATTGTTTGAAGGTTATAAGGCTAAAACCATTGGAAGTAAAAACAAACAGAAACAAACCCATTGCTGTCGAGGCGATTTCAAGTGTGTGTGAAAAAGCAAAACAAACTCGTTGTCATCGATTGATTCTGACTAATAGCAGTCTATAGGACAGAGTAGAACTGCCTGACAAGGTGTCCAAGGCTGTAATCTTCAGGGAAGCAGACCGCCACATTTTTCTGCCATGGAGAGGCTGGTGGGTTCGAACCACCAACCTTTCAGTTAGCAGCCGAGCACTTAACCACTGCACCACCAGGGCTCCTTAGGCATAACCTTATCCCAAACCAAACCAAACCTGCTGCTGTCAAGTTAATTCTGACTCATAGCGACCCTATAGGACAGAGTAGAACTGCCCCACAGGGTTTCCAAGGAACAGCTGGTGGGTTCGAACTGCTGACCTTTCGGTTAGCAGTCAAGCTCTTAACAACTGTGCCATATGTCTTTATATTCTATCATACATAAATTATATTTATTATACATAATTTTATTAAACATACATTAACATTTACTATACATATATTATGGATCCCTGGTGGCACAGTGGTTAAGATCTCGGCTATTAACCGCAAGGTCAGCAGTTCGAATCCACCAGACACTCGCTGGAAACCCTGTGGTGCAGTTCTACTCTATCCTATAGGGTCGCTATAAATCACAATCAACTAGACGAAAATGGGATTTTTTAAATATACTTTTTATGATAAAAGATAATCAATTTATCATTTAGTGACATTTTTATAGTAATTGAAGAAAAATAAGTGAATGCTCAATTTTATTTATTAATTCTTAAAATAGCAACTGATTTGTCAACGGATCTCTCCTGTAGCTCACTGCAAATATCTCCTGGCATTTTCTGTCACTATTTACGAGACAATCAAATCAGTTTTATTACTTTAGTCTTCATAGGTTAAATCAGAGAATGCCAATGCATTTTGATCTCTTAGCATTCGTTTTAAAATATTAACTCCAGACTTTGTCCTAAAATTAAAAAAAAACAAACTAGAATATTTAATATCTTTTGCAAATCGAATGCATGAGTACCTATTACTGATGGTCATGCAACCTATTTATATCCAGGTAGGTCAGTTTACTAAAAGTTTGCTTAACATTAACAGAATAGTGTTCAAATAAATCTTGGAGGAAAGCTTTTTTCCTCTGACTCCTCAAACATTGGAATTAACCAGGTATCTAAATCATGGACCAGTGCACTTTATAATCTCAAAAACAATTCAAATTTTGTTAAATACAATGAGTTATGAAAATTTCTGCCCATCTGAAACATGTTCTCCCTTTTGAGAATTACTACCAGCTGATTATGTGATTTCCATTTGCAGGAAATTTTTGTGTTATTTAAAGAAATAGAAGGCATGGTACTGACCCTCTGTAAGCTTCCTGTGAAGAACTGAGTTGGTAGTTGGGTGTTTGATAATTTCAGAATGGACATAATCCTTTCCTGCTGCTTAACCAGAGAAATTCTTCAATCTTCCTAAGATAGTTACACTTTTTAAAAGATGTATTAAAGTTTTAAAAGTCCACCCAATCATTAAATTAAGGAACGCATGTAATTCAATTTTTTAGATATGTTTTTTAATTTACTGTAAATTGAATTTTAAATATCTGCTTTAATTTGAAGGAAGAGAAGAGGGATGTGTTTAACTTTGAAATATGCAGCTACAAATTCAAATAGAGATGCATCCATTTGCTTTGGACAGGTGGCTATCATTTACAACCTACACAAGCAGGTTTGGTGCAGTGGAGGGATCAGAATCCACATTAGATGTGTTGGTGGAATCAATAAGAGGTGAAGAAATAGAGACAGTCAGTGTAGATACCTCTTATTTAGGTCCTCTTGTCTCCATCATAATTCTTGACTCATGACACATTTTCTTTGCTACTGGATGCAGTCAGAAATCAAACTGCTGCTTTGTCATGCTCAAATTCTCATAACAAGTTTATTGAAATATTTTACCATCATAAGACTATTGCAACCATATTTCAAAAAAAAACTAAATGGTAGTGTTACAAAATCCATATACTTGTACGTTTGGCATTAGTCAATTAACCAGAAGGTTTTCTTCATGTCATTTGACCTCTTAGAGGTTAAGGCATTTTTCCCATCATCCCTTATAACTCCGACTGAATAAGTCTTAATGCTGTCTTCATGTTTTGTATCACTGAAATAAGAGTAAATTTATAGTATGTTACTAGTAAATAAAAGTATCAAACATTATAATCTATTAACTCCCAGAATCAGAAATTGACTCATGTGAATTAATAGTTATGAAAATGTGACATTAAAGAATATTAGGCTAAAGGTACATATTTAAATTTAGGGATTAGACCACTCAGAGATGTCAATTTTATCAGAGGAATTTTGAGAAAGTATGACTTCCATCTTTTTTTTAACTGATTATTTTGTATTATATCACTGGATGTGAGAATCATTGTTATTAAAAACAGTTGAAAGTAAACGTAAAAATTTAAGTCCCAAGTGAGACTGTATCTCCTTTCTTATAAGTATTAAAAGAAGACAAAAATAGTTACTTATCATGAATTTGAAGAAAGTGCATGTGATTTTTGACACCAGGAAAATGGACTCTCTCTCTTAATGCCGTATACTTGTACCGTGCACTACAGCAAAAACTGTGAGAACCTCCATGGGACTGCCTTGTTTTTCTGAGTCTTGCAAGTTTTCCACCTTTGACAGGGTGCAGTTTTACCACTTTTCTATCACTCTGTCTTAGTGGAAAATATTTTAGTTCTCCTTCTTTGACAAGTTTCCGCCTTTCACAGGTTCCGGCTTTGCCGCGTTTTACTGTCTCAGTTTTAGTGGTCTCAGAATCTGGTGATCATAAAAATCACTAGGCATCTCTGTTAAAATACAGATTGCAAGGAGCTCCAGAGATGCTGACTAGGTAGGTTAGGTGGGAGACTGGAATTTGCTTTTTTAAAAAAAATTTTTTTTATTGTGCTTTAGATGAAGATTTACAGAACAAATAGTTTCTCATTAAACAGTTAGTACACATATTGTTTTATGACAATGGTTAACAACCCCACAACATGTCAACACTGTCCCTTCTCAACCTTGGGTTCCCTATTACCAGCTTTCCTGTCCTCTCCTGACTTCTAGTCCTTGTCCCTGGACTGTTGTGCCCCATTAGTCTCATTTTGTTTTATGGGGCTGTCTAATCTTTGGCTGGATGGTGAACCTCAGGAGTGACTTCATTACTGAGCTAAAAGGGTGTCCAGGGGCCATACTCTCAGGGTTTCTCCAGTCTCTGTCAGGCCAGTAAGTCTGATCTTTTTTTTATGAGTTAGAATTTTGTTCTACATTTTTCTCCAGCTCTGTCCAGGACCCTGTGTTGTGATCCCGGTCAGAGTAGTCAGTGGTGGTAGCCAGGTACCATCTAGTTGTACTGGACTCAGTCTGGTGGAGGCCATGGCAGTTGTGGTCCATTAGTCCTTTGGACTAATCTTTCCCTTGTATCTTGTTTTCTTCATTCTTCTATGCTCTCGAAGGGGTGAGACCAGTGGAGTATCTTAGACGGCTGCTCACAGGCTTTTGAGACCCTAGACGCTACTCACCAAGGTAGAATGTATAACATTTTCTTTACAAAGTGTGTTATGCCAATTGAGCTAGATGTTCCCCAAGTGGAATTTGCATTTTAAAGACCAATACCACCACCAAGGAGCCCTGGTGGCACAGTGGTTAAGAGCTCGGCTACTAACCAAAAGGTCAGCAGTTTGAATCCACCAGCCGCTCCTTGGAAACCCGATGGGGCAATTCTACTCCGTCCTATAGGGTCATTATGAGTCAGAATTGACTCAACAGCAAAGGGTATGGGTACCACCACCAACCCCAGTGATTCTGGCTTGTGTATTGCACTTTGAGAAGCACTGGTATCAGGCGCTACTGACCCTTGTTACAGGCAAGGGTCAGCTACTACCACTGTTCAAGCTAATTTGTGAATACTTACACACTGGTAAATCCTGAGGTTCGTATGTGTATAATCGATTAGAGTATTTTCCAGTTATATCAGCTCTGACTGTTAAAGAGGGATCTGCAAAGAAACAACAACACATTGAAGTATTATTTAAAATATTCTTATAATCATTCTTGCTTCTTCCTCTAAAACCAATGTTAAGCAAATTTGTAAGCAAAATCAGTTTTCATACATGTGAATTCATGATGAGTCTACACTTTAATACTGAATTCACACTTTCATGTATCAAAGCTCTCTGTAAATCCAGTTTGGAGAAGTGTACTGAAAGTGCATTCTGATATTGATTTAATACCTCGAGTTAATTAAAATTTACAAACTATAGATATAGTGATTTTAATTATAGAAATAAGAGCTGTTTAAAAATGTGTTGGGTTAGAAATGACTTCCCTTTGACAGCAATAATACTTGAACTAGTATTTTTAAAAAAAAGCGAGAATGCTCAACATTCTACTAGATTTTGTAAAACTGACTAAATGAGATTACACACATACCCACAAACATGATTCTAGGTACATATTGCCCATCAGGTGATAAATTCTTATCGTTGGTCTCATGCTAGCGGGAGAGGGAAAAATGAATGTTATTGGATTAGATTGCTTTTGATGGTTTATTTTTCAAATATTTTAGATAAGTAGATTTTCAGTAAATTGCATGTTCTGGACTTTTGTGCTTCTATATAACGTTCTATATCTACTAAGACTTAGCTCTTTCTGTTCTCAAAATAGAAAAAAAGAATCAAATTTTCCTTTGAATTATGAGGTTAAGAAAACATTACGAGGACTTGTACCATGAGATTCAGCATAATGAAATTATTCTGAGCCATTTCTTGTATTTCTTCATTTTGGGCAAATACTTTTTTCAGTGCTGTGGAGGAAAACATAATGCCAGTTAGTTTCAAAGATCAAGGTATCTTTAATATGACATAGCAAAATTAAGCTAGCATTTTTTATTTGTTTACGTTTACAACTTGAACATAAATAGTTTACTGACCACTTGCCAGTTTGTCCCTCATTGTTCTCCACTCGGGGACAGAGTCTGTCCATGGAAACACCAAAGGATAATTCCATTAAGGAATCTCTAGTTCTATAATTTCATGTGAGTCATTGGCTAATAAATGGGTTAAAACAACTTTATCTTTCCCCAGGTGTTCCCACTCTTTTTCTGGAGGTGAGGGAGATTAAATTCTAAAAGACAGTATAATATAAATATATTTAAAGATTGCTAGCCATCACTGTACTCTTTAAGCACCTTCAGAGTGGTACTCTGCTGTTTTTTTTTTTTTTTTAACAAAATGTTTTAGAATTTGCTAAGTGCTTCTTAACTATTCTCATCAGGTCCCTTTCTCCTTCATGTTGGAAGTGTACTAAGATTTTAGGAGCTAAAATTACCTTGGCTGTATTGACAGTTCTCCAAGTGGTGAATAACCATCAATGGCTTGTTACTAAACAAAGAAAATGTGGAATTAAGTCATGAGATTAAATTTCAGTCAAAATACACAGTGGAATTAGATTTAAACTTCTAGTACTTTCAACTAGACTTAAAGTACGAATCCAGATTTATAAATCGTAGCAATGTAGTCTATAGCAAGCGGCCGGCAGCATTAGTATCACCAGAAAGCTTATTAGAAATGTAAATTCTCAGGTCCCACCTTAACCTACTGAATCAGAATTTCTGGAGGTGAGGTCTAGGAATTTGTATTTTAACAAGCTAGCTGGGAGATTCTTATGTACATTATATTACAATTGTATAAACAAATATCAGTTCTGTCTCCAGTGAGTTTGAAGAGTTAGCAAATGCTAGCTTTCTATCATAAATAGTTTTCTGTCGTAAATCTAAAAGTTGTCTGATTTATCCTTACTTAAAATTTACTTATATTTTAAGTTTGTGGACTAAATTAAATTTATTAACAACTTAAGTTTGTTACTTAACACTTTCTGCAACTGACAAATATTTGGCACCACATAGGGTTATTCAATGACAGATACTTCATATGATGAGTGCTGTTAATTTTTTTTTAAATTTATGCTTATTAAGTATGCACAGAGTCTGCTTCCTTTGAGGCACAGGATCCTCCAAGGGTTTCAAATAACATTTTTAAAGCATCTTATATATCCAATTCATAATTCTCTTATCCTTTACTGCAGTTAATATTATAATTTTTTTATCTTAATCTAAAGAATAAGGAAGTCAAATAACTTTCTTAAAATTTTTTTTTCAGAGAGTTAAAATCGAAATGGCATTGAAAAATATATAGACAGGGAACTCCCACTTGGTCTGTTTGTACACTGTGAGTTGCCACAAAAATAAAAAGATATGCAAATAAAAAACTTGCTGCAGTCGAGTTGATTGTGGCTCATAGCGACCCTTTAGGACAGAGCAGAACCGCTCCATAGGGTATCCAAGGAGCAGGGGGGGATTTGAACGACCCACATTTTGGTTAGCAGCTGAGTTCTTAACCACTGCGCCACCAGGGCTCCAATATGTAAATAGCCAGATATTATTAATATTTTTTATAAAATCTAAAAAACAAAATTTTTAATTTGAAAACAAAACAAAACTTTGAGTCTCCTGAAATCTTGTACCAAGTATCATTAGAAATCTGGTAGAAATTGAAGTAGAGATGCTCTACACCATGGGCCCAAAAACATTTTCCGGTTAAGGGCCAGATAGTTAATATTTTAAGCTTTAGAGGCTATACAGTCTCTTTTGCAACTATTAACTCTGCCCTTATAGCATAAAAGTAGCCAGAGACAATATGTAAATGAAGAGCATAGAAGTGTTCCTGTAGAATTTTATTCATGGACACTGAAATATGAATTGTATTTAATTTTCCTGTATCACAAAATTTTTTTTTCAAAAATTCAAAAATGTGAAATGATTCTTAGAGTACAAACTGTATAAAAGCAAGTGACCTTTGGTCTAAAGTCTCAGGAACAAACACATCAGATGGTGAGGAACTTAAGTTGAGAGAAAAAAATTTAAAAAATAGTAGCTGTACTCTCTGAGCTGTCTAAAACAAGAGCCTCCCAGGGCTGGCTCCCTATCAGTATCATTTGGTAAATTGTTATTTAAAATTTTACATTTTTTTCTTTTAAAATAGATTATAAATTTAGATGGTTTAAAATTCAAAAGGTAAAAAGTCTTTCTCCTACTTCTACCTTCCAGAAGTAAGCAATGTTACCATTTCTCATGCATCCTTCCGAAGGTTTTCAGGTCATGCATCTATATATGTATATGTATCATGTATATCTATATGCATGTCCATGTGTATGTATATATTCCTTTCTTTAAAAACAAAATAAAACAAAACACAGTGTACTAGCATAATATACACATATATTTGCTTTTTTTTTTGACGTAACAGCATATTTTGGATATCATTCCATTTTGCTTGTGTATAATATTCCATTATAAAACCTGTTGCCGTTGAGTCAATTCTGACTTACAGAAACTCTACAGGACAGAGTAGAACTGCCCCTTAGGGTTTCCAAGGCTGTAGTCTTTATGGAAGCAGATTGCCACATCCTTCTCCCATGGAGCTGCTGATGAGTTAGAACCGGCGACCTTTCCGTTAACAGCCTAGCACTTAACCACTGTACAACCAGGGCTCCTCTTTTTGCTGTTCCATTATGTGAATATACTTTCATTTATTTAATGAATCCCCCCCAAAGATGGATATTTAAATTATTCTCAATCTTTTATGTTTAGATTGTTTTGATCATGTATAAACTCTACTTTTACATTTTATATGTATAAAATATTTACCTACAGATACTTAACAAAGTCACCAAGCAGCTGGCTGACACAGGGTGCCAAGCCAAACGCGTTGCCATCTAGTCAGTTCTGACTCATGGCAATCCCATGTTTTTCAGAGTAGAACTGTGCTCCATAGGGTTCTTAATGGCTGTAGTCTTACAAAAGTAAGTGAACATGCTGATATATATACATATGGTTTTGCACATATGTGGGTAAGCTTGTGAATATATTTCCAGAAGTGGCATTTCTAGGTCAAACAGTATGTGCGTTTATAATTTTGGTATACTTGCTCTCCATAGAGA